GGTCCAAAGCGAGGAGCCGGGCAAGGTCGGGAACTCTGGAAGAACAGGTCTGGGTGCTGGCAGAAACAGGTTTCCAACGACGTTGCTCCTGCAACCTGGGACCAGGCTGACTGGCCTTTATCTTCTCTGAGGCCGGGGCGACCCCGGCCCACAGGTGACCTGCCTCTCCTGGCCTTAAGGCGAGCACTCCTCCTGAGAGAACCCAGTTCCCTCCGCCTCTCTGCCTTGAGCCTCTGCAGCTCAGGAGAGGCTGGAGGGTTACTGGATCCAGGGGGAGGCTCACCTTCCCCTGACAGGGCTGGGAGAGGCGCACCTGTAGGCAATGGGTCCTCAATCACCTCCGGAGCCAGAGTGGATTCATCTGGTGTCTGCTCCTGAGGATCCGGCACAGGTGCAGGCACTTCAGATTCAAGGCCCTGCCCAAGCTCAGCCGGCCCTGGAGGCGGGGACTCCTGTGCAGGCTGGGATTCCTCCGGTTCAGCCTCTGAATCAGATTCCCAGGCCATCACAGTAGGGCTTGGAAGGGGTGATCTGGCCAGGAAGTATCAAAGGCTTCAGTCCAGCCTTACACTTCACTGGAGTAAGTTGCTCACTTGGAGCTTTCCATGGTGCTGAAATAATAGGCTTGCCTTGTTGATGCATGCCCTGTGGGCTTTTGTCAAGGTCAGTACAGGACACACAGGGTTGAAGCCAGCTACATCCTACTCACAGTAGACCCATTTAAATTAATGATCCCAAATTAGTCATGTCCATTAATTTCAGTGAGTCTACTCTTGAGTAGGACTAGCATTGGCCATAACCCACATGTTGTACCATTGAACTACAGTCCGAACCTTGTTTCCCCACATTGATTCTTAATTCAATCGACAATGACAATCCATGTGATTTTATTTATGGGATCTGCATACGATTACCATGTAAAATTGCGACACCACCCAAAAACTCACTGCTAATGGTGGTAGGATAAAGAGCCTCACGATAGGTAGGGAATTATTATCACCAGAGCAAACCAGCAAAACTGTGAAAGATCTGAGTATGCTGGTTAAATAGGAAACACTATTTTATTCAGTTTTAGATACATGAAGAAAAGCAATAAATCCAGCTAAACAAGATCAGTGGGTTACTGGATATGCAGATTTGGCTATGTGGTGCCAGCAATGAATCAATCTTGAAATACAAAATGTTTTATTATCCATGCATATAGATGCAGAATTTGAGGCGTGAGGGAAGAAAGCCACATTCCAAGTCTGCCAACCTTGATGGTGCCCCATTAGCCAAAGGGACTTTCTCTCCCTCTTGGTTTTTATACGGGAATGAATTTACTTAGGATGTGCATGGTTTTGCAATTAGTCTCCTCTCCACAAAGTAGCTACTGCTTTATTAAATGCAGGAACGTGCGCAACTCAAAAAACACTTGACATGGTTGATGTGTAGAGTAGGTGTGCACTCAGGGAAAAAGTGAGACATTTGGCAAAAGCCTAGCGTTGGGATTACGACAACCTTACTATGTATTGCACAGGGTTTTATGTGATTTTAATGTGTTCTTCACTCATACCTACCAATCATTCTGGCACGCAGTAGTTCAGCCACTTCTCTTAAAAGCCAGCATGTCGCACCTAAGGAGAAAGCACCCTCCCTTCTTGCCATTTCCCCTTCTGTCATTTTTAGAATAGGAAAAACAATGTCTCTACTGGCATTTGGCAAATTCAGATTCCTTTATGTTTGCTTCTATATTTATAGCATCTTTCCTAAGTGTAGGAGGGCGCAGCATTCTGTGTTGTGCGCAGAAGCACTTACATTTAGTCTCTACTATTTTGACTTTAGAGTGGCAGCCAGCTGGGCAAAGGACATGTGGCAAACGGCAGAACAGAGTGTGCTGGGCACTGTCTCTGGAATTCTTAGAGAGCTCCATTACACCTTCAGTGACTAGTAGGAGGTTTCTCTCCTAAGGAGCCAAGAGTTCTATTTACTGAAAAGAATTTACTTGACCTGTTCATTAGTTTGGGGAATATTTGCTAGAAGTTGGGGAAGCATTCAAGACAGAACATCCCATTAACACATGTTAAACACATCTCAAAAGCCTTACTGAAATCAAGATACAGTTGTACCTTGAAAGTCGAATGGAATCTGTTCCGGAAGTCCGTTTGACTTCCAAAACGTTTGGAAACCAAGGCGTGGCTTCTGATTGGCTGCAAGAAGCTCCTGCAGCCAATCAGAAGTTGCAGAAGCCCCATCAGACGTTTGGCTTCTATAGAACGTCAGCAAACCGGAACACTCACTTCTGGGTTTACAGTGTTCGGGAGTCGAAACGTTCAAGTTAAAAGGTACAACTACATTCACAGCATTCCCCTGGTCCACCAAGTCTGTAACTCTATCAAAAAAACGGAGTGAGATTTGTCTGTCATGAGGTTTTTTGTTTTTGTTTTACAGAAACCCATGCTAGGTCTTAGTAATCACAAGTATCCTTTTCTAAATGCTCGTACTTGATTGCCTGTTCTAGAACCTTTCCTGGTATCGCCGTCAAGCTCATTGGTCAGTTTTCTTTTTGAAGATGGGGACAAAAATTGCCTGCCTCCAGTCTGTAGTGACCTCACCGGTTCTCCAAGAATTCTCACATATTATAGACAGAGGCTCCGAGATTACATATGCAAGCTTCTTTAGTACCCTTGGTTGCAGCTCATCAGTCCCTAATTTGAATTCATTTAAAAGTAGCTAGGTGTTCCCTTACCACCTCTCTTTTCATATCTTGGGCTGCAGTTTCCCTTCTTGCATCATTTATTCTATTATACTGGTTCTGCTGCAGCAAGACTGGATCTTCTATAAGCTTGTTTTTTTGTTTAGTCTTTAGCGATATTTTCTACCAGTTTTCCCAGGACATTGTTGTTGTTGTTTAGTCGTTTAGTCGTGTCTGACTCTTCGTGACCCCATGGACCAGAGCATGCCAGGCCCTCCTGTCTTCCACTGCCTCCTGCAGTTTGGTCAAACTCATGTTCGTAGCTTCGAGAACACTGTCCAACCATCTCTTCCTCTGTCGTCCCCTTCTCCTTGTGCCCTCCATCTTTCCCAACATCAGGGTCTTTTCCGAGGAATCTTCTCTTCTCATGAGGTGGCCCAAGTATTGGAGCCTCAGCTTCAGGATCTGTCCTTCCAGTGAGCACTCCGGGCTGATTTCCTTAAGAATGGAGAGGTTTGATCTTCTTGCAGTCCATGGGACTCTCAAGAGTCTCCTCCAGCACCATAATTCAAAAGCATCAATTCTTCAGCGATCAGCCTTCTTGATGGTCCAGCTCTCACTTCCATACATCACTACTGGGAAAACCATAGCTTTCACTATACAGACCTTTGTTGGCAAGGTGATGTCTCTGCTTTTCCCAGGACATACATTAAGCTAACTCTCCTGTTATTTCCAGGATCCCTCCTGGATCCCTTTTTAGGTTACTGAGACAGGACCTACCCTACAGAAGCCATGCTGCTTCTGCTGTATGACTGCCATAAGATACCACTTCCGGGTGCTATACAGTGGCTCAGCACTGTCATGGGAACGTACTGCATGATCTGCCCAACTCTTATAGTTCCCTGCTGCATAAGGACTGGACTATATGTAGAGCATTCCTTGAGGCACCTATGAATTGAGGCCACAATAAAGCATCTTTCGTGATTTTATGGGACCTAGCTAATGATTTTATTTTTAAAAAAATATATCCTCTGGGGATGGCAGCCATCCTTCCAATAATAATTAAAAAGTGCCACTTGGAAGTTTTCCTAGAATCTGGCGTGTTTACCTTTCCTAGTTTAGAAAGAGGCATTCAACCATCAATATTATCGTCTTTCCTGTAAAAATAATTTTAAAAATGTGGCGGCCAGCAGCCGTCATAGAGTGCAAGTCAAGCAAAAACAGAGTGCCGCCAGAATCAAGGCTTGCAAGCTCCATTCTGTTGAGCCCTGACAGGCACTTGGCACTGGCTACTGAGAGCTTGGCGAAGATTTTTTATAAAAGAAGTTAACTCGTCTAAATAAACACGTCGCCTTGCCTATGCACATATAGTTGCCTTTGTACCTGGGAGCAACAAAATATTTGCTAAAGAGGAAATAGGACTTCTACCCCTCTTTCCCAATGGCTGCTGCTTTCGCTCATTTCTTGTCTCCAAATCTTTGGCAAGTCACACAGCGACCTATCAAGCCTTTTAACACAAGCATGATTTCACTTCCATCTGTTTTCATAACATCGAAGGGTCTTCGGTAGGCTTGCTACGCATCGCTAGTTCTCCCTCCCACTCTCCATTCTGGTTCTAATAGAATGTCTTTTTTTGGGCACCGTGCGTAATTTTTTGGCACTCATCCCCATAACTCTTCTCTTTCTCTCCCCTCCCCCCCCCCCGGTCATTTGCATTCCACTTCACACATGGATTCAAAGCAAACAAGGTCCTTATCAGAGGAAATGAAGACCATGGATGCAAACTCTCCGAGGGGCTGAGTTTTTGCTACTGAGGGAGTAAAAATCTGAAAGGGGTTGCAGAGGAGGGGAAAGTTTCTGGGAAAGTTATTTTGGTGTCCCCTTGAGAGTGCGAGGCTCAGATCAGCCAGACCACTCAATCATGACTTTGTCTGCCATTGCCTGACTCTTGTTACCAAATAAAATATTTAGGAGTTCCTATGTTAAAATGGGTCAGAGTTTTGGGAAACCTCTCTCATCAGAAAGATAGCTGAAACGTCCTTGCTGCAAAAGAGCAAATTGATGCAGGTCTGAATAAGCTGGATGGAAGGTACAAAATGTAAAAAAAAAGCGAATAGAAGGGCTTGTATATAATCAGCATTTACCACTGGTGGAAACTGCATCTCATTTATCTCTTGATATGTTGAATTGATTGCCTGCTTGTTTACTTATTTGGGCCTATTTTTCTTAGCTCCTTGTTTGGAAAACGCCCCCCCCCACTCCATTTTGTTTTCGCTTGGTATGCATGCATAAATAAAAACATATGTTTAAATAAATTAACAGGAAAGGGGCCATAGCTCAGTGGTAAAGCATGTGCTTTACATGCAAAAGACCCCAGTCTCAATCCCTAGTATCCCCAGGTAGGGCTGAGAATGTCCCCAGTTGAAAACTCTGGACAGCTGCTGCAAGTTAGCCAAGACGATACTGGAGCTGCCCTCTTACAGCGCTAAAACGTGTGGACACCCAGTGACACTAAATGTTGGAAGATTCAGGAAAGGGGAAAAGGGAGTATTCCTCCATACAGCACATAAAGTAGGGGATTCATTCCCAGCAGAAGCAGTGACAGCCATAAACTTGAAAAGAGGATTAGATCAGTTCATAGAGGATGGCTGCTAATAATGATGTTAATGATGCCGGCTCCCTCGGCCAATAAAGAGAGATGAGCGCCGCAACCCCAGAGTCGGCCACGACTGGACCTAATGGTCAGGGGTCCCTTTACCTTTACCTATCTCCACTGAATACCAGGTTCTGGAAACTGCAGGAGTGGAAATTGCTGTTATGCTCAGGTCTTGCCTGCAGGCTTCCCACAGACATTTGGCTGGTGTGGCGTTTGCCCTCCTAGGTGTGTGACATCATCCTGGGTTCATAAGGAAAGGGTTAACTAATTGTAAAATGACTAACCAATGGGAACCCAAGGGGAGGATTTAGAGTTAGGGTGGTTGAGAAGAGTCTGGAGTTAGAGAAGAGAGAGGGAGGATAAGTCTGTGGGTTGGGCTAGTCTGATGTGTGTGTGAGAATGAATCTGTTAAGAGGAGTCAGTCAAACAGTTGATATAATCAGTCAGAAGGTATTGGCTGGTAAAGAAACTAAAGTTAAGAAACTGACAGGAATATTATCTGAGAAACCATAAACTTGTTAATGCTTATAAAATAAACTTGTTTATTTGGTTCAGTTTTAACAACCGTCTGGACTCAGTGTTTTACCCGAGAGTAACGGGTTGGTGGCAGCAGGGAAGCAAGCACAGTTGTGGCACAGGGATCAATAGACCATTAAACGTCTGGGGACCCTGTGTGATCGCCACAGTGTGCTGGTCCCGGGGGGTTACCGTGCGGCGTGGTCCGAGTCCACTCCGAGGTCGAGGGTGTGGTATGGAGGCTGTACATCAAGGCTGAAGCAGGGTCCAAGGCAAGGAGTCGGGTGAGGTCAGGAACTCTGGCAGACAGGGTGCTGGCAGGAACAGGTTACCAACAATGTTGCTCCCGCAACCTGGGACTGGGCTGGCTGGCTTTTATCTGCCCCGAGGCATAGGGCGGCCCCGGTCCACAGGTGACTTGCCTCTCCTGGCCTGGAGGCGAGCACTCCTCCTGCAAGAACTTAGTTCCCTCCACCTCTCTGCCCTGAGCCTCTGCAGCTCAGGAGAGGCTGGAGGGTTACCGGACCCAGAGACAACCTCCTCTTCCCCTGATGGGGCTGAGAGTGGAGCACCTGCAGGCAGTGGGTGCTCCATCACCTCCGGAGCCAGAGCAGACTCAGCTGGTGAGGACCCTTCAGGTTCAAGCCCCAGCCCCGGCTCAGCTGGTCCTGGAGGCGGGGACTCCTGTGCAGGCTGGGATTCCTCAGGTTCAACCTCTGAATCCGATTCCCAGGCCATCACACACAGCTGGCTACTAGCCTCACCCATCAGGACCATTCTTATCTCCATTCCAATGACAGGATGCGTCTGTCCTATATATTGCATCGGCCCTGCCACCAAAGAAGATTGTCTGATCATTGGCCAGCACAGTTTCTCTGAGGAAGCCTTCCTTCCTCTCATGTGAAACAGCTGCTCACTTAGTATGCATGTGCTGTTTGTGGAAGCAGACACAGAAACCCCTGAGTTAGTATTGTGGGGATCTCCACAGTGGCAGTGCCTCAGGTGTCACACTTCCCTAGACTTTTAATGCAGCTACAGAGTGTTTGATGGGTGTAATCTAAGGCGGCCTTGTAAATAATCCTACAAAAGTTACTAGCCTGTTGAAAGGAAAGCAGCCTGTATTTCTCTGCTGACTTCAGAGGAAGGAAAGCTGCAACTTGCATAGAAATGCAGGCTACTAACCTCTTATCAGACTAATTTAAAAGTTGCCTTTTATCAGCCAGATTGGCAGAGGAGGGAAAGGGAGACTCATCCCTCCTCTAACCTGCTTAGTTACTGTGCTGGTGATTAGGGATAGGAGAATACATCATTTTCGCTTTTTCTCAGTTTATCCATTTTTGAATTATGCTCAATTTCCACATCAGATTGCGATTACACTGGTAGCTTGGGTTAAGAACTTAATTCGTTCTGGAGGTCTGTTCTTAACCTGAAGCACCACTTTAGCTAATGGGGCCTCCCGCTGCTGCCGCGCTGCCGCCACACAATTTTTGTTCTCATCCTGAAGCAAAGTTCTTAACCTGAGGTACTATTTCTGGGTTAGTGGAGTCTGTAACCTGAAGCGTCTATAACCCGAGGTACCACTGTATTACTTTCAAAAGTCCTCATGAAAATTCATTGGTGCAAATTTGTCCTAATGTGCATTTTGTGTTTCAATTTTCCCTAATGTACACATTTTTGCAAATCACCTTCCCCAATATAATGCATTTATGCATATTATTTTCATTAATATGTACATTACAATGCACATTGCCTTACTGTGAGCATTTCTGAATGCATTACTTGGCTGGAGAACTGTATCGCAATATTCAGAGAGGTGTGGATTTTGATGGATGGCTGTGTTTTTCTGCTCATATTGCTTTGGAAAGTGCGCATTAGTTCGCTTCACCTGTAAATATAAACTGAATTGAATTTCCCCCCATCCCTTCCTATGGATCTACCATGCAAGTTGTTAAATAGAAGGCTAATCTTATGACTCTGTCTGAGGGAGCAACAAAGTGGAAAAGTGTGGTAAGTAGAGCTATAGACCCTAAAAGATGGTATAAGCTTTTTAAAAATCCTAGTAGCTCCTTTGAAGGGTGGCATATAAGTATTCTAAAAGTTAATAGCTCCCCGCCTTGTCTTTTGGGAACAGTGCCAGTGCAGTGGCTAAAATGACTGCCTTTATTCAGAGTTTTGGAATATGGCTAATGGTTAGGCTTGGTTTTTTTTTTACTTGTGAGAACGGGCCACTCTGTTTTGGCCTGGTTTTCATTGTAAGCAGAAGCAGTGTGCATCAGTGATATTGGTTTCGTTTGAAACTACTTGTGTGGCCAACATTTCAGTGAATGGACCCACTTTGGTTTGCAAAAGCTTCTGAAACTTCGGGTGTTGAGCATGCGGTTTAAATGGGCCACACAAAGGTTGTAAAAAGCAAATGTTACGTGCACAATTGGAAAAATCAGGGGATAATTTAAGTTGCTCTCTTTTTTGTTATGCATTTGTGTAAGTTTCCTTTTTTTTATTTTAAAAAAAAAGGAAAATAAGCCATGCCACAGCAGAGCCCAACCCAATTCCCTCTTGAGTCAATGGACATTTTGTGTTCTGTATGTGCTTTGGATCCATAACAGTAGTCGGTTAGGAGACCCACTTGCACCCTCCTCTCGTAGGTGGTCTATAATCTCTTAAGCTGCCCCTCCATGCTTCAGTTCATTCTTTAATGAGAATTTAATATTTCTGAAGCACTCTGTTTTATGTGATGGAATTGGCTTTGCAGAATGTGGAAGCATTCTCTAGCTGTTGGTCCCCCACAATGGAAAAGAATACATGGGGAGGGTTGCAGGGAAGGATTGTTTGTTTGTTTTCTAAGAAGCAGTTAATTTTATGTATTGAATGCCCCCCCCCATGTTTCTTCATAGCTTAAAGTTCTTCTCAGTGTATAACAAGCATTGGTTTAGCTTTATGATAGAGGTTTGTCTTGGGTTCCTTTTTTGTGTGTCTCGACATCACAAAGAAACAGACCCTAGAGTGAGAGTTTACAAATTTACTGTATTTGTTTAGAAACCTAATAGCCTACCTTTCAATAAAATGATTCTTAAAGTGGAGAACAACTCAATACAATCTAAAATGTTTCAGAAGCCCATTCAAAGGAGCAGTGGACCAAAAAGCTTTATATAAAAAGCAAAGCAAATCCAATACATAGCCACACAAGCTTGTCTAAACAAGCAAGTCTTTTAGCATCCATGTTTAAAAGATTGTGGTCCCAAATCTGGCGCAGGACAGTTGATTTTGATTCCACTCTCTTTCTGATTTCTCCGCTATTAAATTTAGTTCCCCCCTATTTCCACAACAGTTTGCGATTTTCTTTTTTAAAAAACCCCTGCATGAAAATGTGTTTATAATTTTGTGTACGTTCCTTACAACGTGTGTATTTTTGCACTGTTTTCATAGACATACACATTTCTCTGCATACTTTCCCCTAACATGCAGATAATTTGTAGAAATGAAAATGGGGACACTCATGATATCCCTTGTTCACTTCTAAAGTAACATAAACAAAACGGATACTCTGCATTTGACCCATGAGGCTTTCACTAAAAAGTTTTCTTCCATTTAATAAATATTGAATGCAATTCAGATATTATTATTTTCTCATTAATTTGCAGAGAGTGGTGGAAAAAACGCAGAGCAATTTTTTGGCACAGTAATACCCATTGCAGTATGTACATTTGTTGCTCCCCCTCCCCCCCCCAAAAAACAGATGAAAATTGTCAAATTTATTGTTGCATGGGCAACATTGTCACAACTAAGTCTTTTGACTCTCTTGTCTGCCTGCTCCCTGATATTTTATATTGCTTGTGAAAATGAACATATTGCTTACACCTTTGTAAAGGCAAAAGGGGTTGAAGAAGTCTTAACAACTCCGCGTTGCAGGATCAGACTTCAGTAGATAATTTACAGCAAACCAAGCATGCCTGGGAAACTGTACATTATAGCATGAACTTCCCATGGTAAATTTCATTCTCATGCCTCTGTTGACATAAAGAGAAATCCCCAGAGCCTTGTTTAATATTCCCTGTTATCTGTTGCACACGTGCCAAGATGCTTTGCCTCACAGATGAGGACAAAAAGAAAAAGAGGGAGTGATGTATAATAGACAAGGCTCAAGATGCAATGACCTTAAAGAGGGACGAAGGTGGCATGATAGAGACATCACTTCCCATGATGCAAGACTAAGCAAAAATGCTCCC